TGCAAGCCCAGAGCAGCGAAGGCCAACGAAATCCGAATGATTTCAGCTGTGGGCCATGCAGTGAGGCGGCGTTCAGAATTTGAGTCCAGACAAGTTACTCTCTTGCTCAAAGCCTAACAATCTGGTCCCCATGAGGCCTTAACATGATGTCAAGATATAACCTGAAATTACTAGACATACGAAATGTGTTTGAAATGTCCACACTCGAGAGGAGGGGTCCGTGAACTACGGCTCGCAGGCTGCCCATCTGCTGTTAAAAACAGTTTTAGGGGCACCTGAGGGGTTCAATCGGTTGAGCGTCCGACATCAGCTCAGGTCATGGTCTCACGGTTTGTGGGTTCGAGCCCCGTGTCAGGCTCTGTGCTGACAGCGCCTCCACTTCTGTTCTGTCCGGGGCCGCCTGCATGCTGCCACCATGGAGCTCAGTCCTAAGATACTCACTGGCTGGTCCTTTAAGAAAAAGCCAGCCCCAAGGGGTGCCTGGGGGGCTCAGTTGGTTAAGCATCCAGCTTCGGCTCAGGTCATGATCTCAGCTTTATGGGTTCAAGCCCCGCGTCAGGCTCTGTGCTGACAGCTCAGAGCCTGGAGCCTGTTTCAGATTCTGTGTCTCCCTCTCTCTTTGACCCTCCCCTGCTCATGCTGTCTCTATCTCTCTCTCAAAAATAAATAAAACATTTAAAAAAAAAAAAAGAAGAAAGAAAAAGCCAGCCCCTGCTCAAGAGAAAAGACCATCAACAGTGAGTGACCACCCTGTGACCCAGACATAGGGATCAGCTGACATATATCTATGCTGAACTCGTAAACAAAAATGTCTTCAAAATAAATGAAAAAAAAAAAAAGAGGAATTTCATGGAGCATTAGAAGGTTAGATAAAGAACCAAATGAACATTCTAGAACTGGAAAGACCCATCCAATGGAGGAGACGGGGTCAGCTGCCGTGTGGGACAATCGTCCTTGCCCCTTTTCCTTCCCGGAATATCTGTGACACGCTGGAGAACAAGCAGCCTTCTTCCTTTTTTTTTTAATGTTTATTTTTGAGAGAGAGGGAGAGAGCGAGCGAGCGGGGGAGGGGCAGAGAGAGGGGGAGACGGAATCCGAAGCAGCTCCAGGCTCCGAGCTGTCAGCACAGAGCCCGACGCGGGGCTCGAACTCGTGAATCGCGAGGTCATGCCCTGAGCCGAACTCGGACACTTAACGGACTGCGCCGCCCAGGCGCCCCTAAGCAGTCACCTTTTGACCAGGGGACGCGTGCTGGGTGCTGAGGAGGACAGAACAGGATGTGGGCGGCCGCTGGAGACTCCCAAGCTCCGTATCCCTGGGCCTCCTACCTTCCGCTGCGGCTGGGCCTCCGTTACACGCGGCCAAATGCGTTTTTAACAGACGCTTTGATAAATTAAACTGAATAGCAGCCGAATCTCATTTGGCAAGTGTAACCGAATTAGCCCGTCCTTGAAAGAGGTGTGTCGTTGCTAAATGACAGCATCTACTTGGCGCCAGCCCGTACCTGGCACATAGGGGCACCTGCGTAGGTGAATTCCTCTGCCACCCTTCTGATTCGGGTGCGTGCTGGAGGCAGTGGGGTGGGGAGGGCGCACGCAGGGGACCGCAGCCACCATGGGGTAAGGAGGCGAGAGAGGGCTGCTTGGTGCCGGGCTGGCCCGTCCCCGTCCCGTGGGGTGGCAGCCACAGGGCACACGGAGAAGTCTTTCCCCCACCGTAGAGCCAGGACAGGCTCTGACAGAGGGAACAGGTTTGAGGGCCCTTCTCCCTCCTTCTTTTAAAAAAAATTTTTTTTTGTTTTATTTATTTCTGAGAGAGACACAGAGAGAGAGAGAGACAGCGTGAACAAGGAAGGTCAGAGAGAGAGGGAGAGAGAGAATCCCAAGCAGGCTCCATGCTGTCAGCACAGAGCCTGACGTGGGGCTCGAACCCACAAACCTTGAGATCATGACCTGAGCTGAAACGGACTCAGACGGATGCTTAATGGACTAAGACACCTGGGCGCCCTTCTCTCCCTACTTCTTGGACAGGAAGTCCACTTACCCCTATTTTTTTTAAGGATCTAAAAGATTTTTTGTAAGTTTATTTATTTATTTTGAGAAAGACGGAGATGGCATAAGTGGGGGAGGGACAGAGAGAGAGAGAGAGAGAGAGAGAGAGAGAGAGAGGGAGAGAGTGTCCCAAGCAGGCTCCACGCTGTGGGTGCAGAGCGTCACGAAACCGGGAGATCGTGACCTGAGACGGAACCAAGAACCCAACGTTTAAGTGACTGAGCCACCCAGGTGCCCCTGAAGGATCTAAAAGATGTTTTAAGCCCCGTTGGCCGTTCAGGACAGGTTTCGGTTTGGGGTGAAAAATTGGAAAGTGGACGGATGACAGACAAAAATGACCCAGAGCAACATAATGGCCCTGGGACCACCTACATAGCCAAGAAGTTATTGTTTTTTCCTTCTTACAGAATGAAGACGTCATGGTTTGAGGATCCAGGATCTCAGGACTCCATGTCCCCATCCCTGGGTCCTCAGGGTGCTCTGGGCAGGGCAGAGGGGGGAAGGGCGGGCCTCTGCCAGCATTCGGAATCAGGGAAGGGGCCTTAAAGTCATTCTAGTCCAAGATTCTTCTGGCTCCTGCTTGTATTCCTCTGAGGACAGGGAGCTCACTCCCTCTCCACGCGAGCCCCTTCATCTTTGGGCAGTTCTACCAATTAGGAAGTGCTTTGTTGCATTTGGTAGAGGTCTGTCTCCCTGCGGCACACACCCGTGGGCATGAGAACAACAGAGTAACCGCACGTGGCAGCTGTGTGTACACACCGGGTGTGAGCCCGTCTCCAGCATGGCCTCACCGAGTCCACATAACCACCCCGGGGAACAGACACTGTTGTCATCACCCTTTTACGGAGGAGGAGGCCTTGGTGCTCAGAGAGGTTCAGGAACTTGCCCAGAACCTCACAGCTGGTGGAGTGGAGCTGGGATTCAAACTCAGGCACCTCTGGGTCCCGACTCATCACTGTGCCCCTCCCCCCACGGAAGCAAATCTGCTTGTACTTAAAACAGCCGTCAAGCCCCCCCCCCCCACCTCCCAGGCCCCCTCTCTCTGCTTCCATGGAGCCTTCCCTTCCTTCCAGCGGTGGCTCGGGACAAACCTAGGAGTTGGCATGTGGCCTGTTTATGATGAAAGGGACTTAGAAGAGGCCCAGTGGGTGACGCCAGGACGACTTCTTCCCTGAGGAGACGAACACTGTGGGAAGAACGCCCTTCCCCTCCCGCCTGCCTCAAGCGCTGAGCACGGGGACGGCGTGTGGTCTGGTGGCCTTCGGAGCTCGGAGCAGGGGCTCCGACCAATGTCAGCCAGGAGCCCCCCGGGAATCATCTCCCTCCCGACTTCGTACCGAAGATCCGCGAACGCCTTTAGCCCCGGGATCGCCCGGCGGGCCCGTCCATGCACAGGGTGCCGGCTGCACCCCCAGAGGCTCGGGGGGTCTGGGCCGGGGCCCGGGGTCCTGCATCTGTAGCAAGTCCTGGGCCATCAGACGGGTTTCTGCTCTCTGCCACCCTGTCACCTGGTGCTGAGCTCCCTGTGTCCGTGGCTCGGGCACCAGGTGCCATGGCACTGAGCACAAACTCGCGCTACTCTGCCCGTCTCCGGTCACCTGTCCGAGGAGGAAGCCAGCCCCACCCCCACCCCCGCAGCCACCGCCTTCCCCAGCCGGTGCTGCAGCTTCGACATGTGGAGGTTGGGCATGAGCACAGGATTGTGGGACATCAGGATTCTGGAGGCAGGAGGAAGAGGCTGCAGGTGTGCGGGGCGGGGGGCGGGGCTTCCCTGTGAGAGCTGCCGTCGGCACGTCTGCGGACCTGACCATACACTCTACAGACCAGCGCTGGCCCAGCAGCAGTCGTCGTCCAATCCCTGTGACTTCTGCATCCGGCCGCATGCGCGCTCGGGTAAGGTCTTCAATTAAATCAACATTTTAGTGGCGTAACTATTGATCACGGAGGAAAGCTGTGCCCACCGTCGAGAACGACGTACACAGAGGTGACTGAGAACACGGAGGCAGACGCGTTGACGGCGCACGAAAAGATCAGCCAAGCCCCCGAAACCCTCCGGCGCTGCAGCGAATCGGGACACAGGGGGACACAGGGCTGCAAGCTCGCCGATGTCCCCTCCCTCCCCAAGTTCACAGCGGAGCCCTGACTCCTGTATTTGGAGACGGGATCTCGGAGTTAATTAATTCAGGTTCACTGGGGTCATACGGGCAGGGCCTTGGGCCGATAGGCCTGGTGTCCTTATAGCTTCCAAGAAGTGCCAGGGGCGCCTGGGGAGCTTGGTTGGTCGAGCGTCCGACTTCGGCTCCGGTCATGATCTCACAGTTTGTGAGTTCAAGTCTCGCATCGGGCTCTGTGCTGACAGCTCAGGGTCTGGAGCCGCTTCCGATTCTGTGTCTGTCTCTCCCTCTGTCCCTCCCTCGCTTACACACACTCTCTCTCTCTCTCCCAAAAGTAAATAAACAGTTAAAGAAATTTAAAGAAAGGAAAGCAAAGAGCAGTGGCACGGGGGACACACGCACGGAGAAAAGAACACAGGTGAAGATGGCTGGCTTCCCAGCACTGTGGACGCCCTGACCGTGAACTTCCAGCCTCCGGAACTGGGGCGAAATAAACCTCTGTTGTCTAAGCCACCAGGTCCGTGGCGCTTTGTGGCCGCCCGAGCGGACAGCCGGCCGACACACGGCACATGCCTCGTTGGCCAGCAGCGTCTGCGTCCCTGTGAGCGCGTGAGAAATGCAGGTGCTCAGTCCCCAGCCCAGAACCGCTGGACCAGAACCTGCACTTGACAAGCCCCTCCCCCACCGCACACACGGTTTGCACACTTTAAGGGACACCTCTTGCCGCTTGTCAGGTGGGGGCCTCCGCGTGGCTCCAGAAATTCCCGTGTTGATGAGCATGTCCGTGTGCGCGTGTGCCACGCGCCGTGTAAACAAAACAGAAGCACCTCCGAGCTGGTTTTCAGCGTTTTATTTCACAAACTGTCCAGATTTGTCCAAGAAGAGACACGTCACAGGGACACGTGAGAAATGAACCCAGTTTTATTGAAACAACAGCAACGTGGTCCCTGTTCATGCAAAGCACACACACACACACTTTACAATAACCTTTGTACACAGGAAGTAGTAAAATACATCATTTTTCATAGAAAAAAGCACATATGTAAGCTGCGGGCTGAGTGAGCCTACAGACGATATAAAAACTCAGAAACACAATGGGGCAAAAATCCGAAGGAAACGAGAGCTTTTCGTTTTGGGGGGCAGGGGCCCCTGAAACACTGCTGACCTGATCTGTCGTCTTTTTGTGGGTCTGTGGCCCACGGGGCAACGGGTGCTGTTAACATACAAAATTAGAGGCGGCCCCTGACTACAGGGGCCTCGCCCTTGGACCCCTGTTTGCATTTTCAGGGGAAAAATGGCTCCAGTTTCAAAACGTCTGTGAGCGCGGGACGGGACGGACAAGTTCTGGCCCCGGGCGGGGACCGCTGATCCTGTTAGACGGGCCGCTTCAAGAGACATTCGGGAACCAGGCGTCGACTAGCTCCGGAAGTTTCAGATTCTCCCTTGGGCAGGATGTCTCCACAGCCGCCCCCTCGGAACACCCGTGGGCCGACTCGACGTCCACCAAGCCCGGAGTCTTGGCCAACCCACGGCCCCCGCGGCGGGTTCCAGAGCAAAGTCTGATGGAGACCGAGTCCAGCAGCGCCACACCGAGAATCCACAAGTTTCCAAGTACTCAGAGCTTTGGCTGTAACCAGACACGGACCTGACAAGCTGACCAAATTCTTGTGCTCTGACATTCGGGGCAGAGTAGTCAAAACCTACGAATTCCTACAAGCCCACAAGGCACAGAGCGGGGGACGCAGCTAATTTCAGCTCTGTGCGCTCAGAGCTTCACCGCTTGGCCAACTCCCTCAAGGCGGAGGGAGGCCGTCTACCTCCACGTTGTGAATTTAGTGGGGATGCATGCACTTGGCAACCCGCCAGCGAACTTCCCCAGGGAGACGTACAGACCATCTTAGCTTTGCTTTAAACACACATGCACACGCACACGCACACACACACCAAAACACCTGCCTGCGAGTTCCCCTGCCTTTCAAATATTCTGATGGAGAGTGAAATCAAATTTGAAAACCGGTGTTCACAGAAGCGACCCGCTGGCCAGCCTGCTGGCGGGGGCTGGAATGTTACCTTCTGCAAAGAGCCGCTATTTGCGAGAGGGTGTTTTCTTTTTTCTGTGGGTTTTTGGGTCTGGGCTTGAGAAGGACTTTTGTAAAGTGGAAGCCAGAGAGCATCGCGCTCCTCAGAGCCGGAGGGGCGTCTGGCAAGGGCCGTCCCACAAAAACAGGAAGGGAGATCCTTCTACGGCGCGGCCGTCGCTCCTGTGGTTACGCCGCGGGACGGTTTTGTAACCACACGCTGCCCCCCTTCCCAGAGCTGCTAACCTAGGCGAGGAATGTACCGAGGGAGCCATTCCTCCCGCCGCTGAGAAACGAGGTCACCCCACGGACGGGGACTCTGCACATCTGACATTTTTTCAAAGCAGCAACGGAACAGCGGAACCGACAGACGCTAAGAGTTCTTTTAAAAAAAAATTAAGAAGTGGGGCTGCCCGCAGAATGGCTCACAAAGCAAAGTCCCCTGTGGGAGATACGGTGCATAAACCAGTCTGGGGGGGCGGGGGTGAAGGCCACGTGGGGGGGGTGGCAAAGAAAGGATCCTGGTTCATTTGTCCTCAAGGAGGCCAAAGGTCACGGCAGCAGACAGACGGGCCACGCGGACGAAGGGGACGACGAAGACGAGAGAAGTCTCTGGGGGTGACCGCGCAACACAAACTAAGCCAGGCCTGCGGTCCACAGAACCAGCCTGCGGGGGGCAGGGTGCTGGCGAGGACGGGGGGCCCCCCGGCCCCCTGTTCCAGCCCATGTGTCTGACCAGCAAACGTTAAACCCATTTCCCTCCATTGGTGGGGACGGACTGTGTTTTCAAAGTTTTTAAATAACCGCCTTCTACTCCCTTCCCGAAACCCTCTGGATGGTCGAGAGCCCCCGCCCCGCCCTGCCCCGCCCCTGCCCCCCGGCGGGAGCACCGAGTCCTGACACATCCCCAGGCCTGGAACCTTCCCCCCGCCCGCCGAGGAGCACTGGGAAGGAGCACCTTGGTGACTGTCCGTGCAGAGGGGGCGCTCAGACCGAGACCCCGGCCTCAGTGGGACTGGCCACCAGCCGTCCGGCCGGGACCCCAAAGGCGCCGTTTCTCTGCACGGCTTGAGACAAAGGCACGAAGGGTGTGACGCTGAACACCACCGAAAGGAAGTTTCCCGTCTCTCTCTACTCCCAGCCCACCCCCCCGAATACGACAAAATAAAAATAAAAATAAAAAGCAAAACCCTGAAGCCCTCTTGAAGACACCCCCCTTCTCGCCGGCACTGGAACTTCACTGCCTGACGGCAAAGATCCGGAAGGCCTTTCCATCTCGGGGGGTCCTCAGGCTGCAAAAGAAGGCAGAGGGGCACGTTACTGAAAGGTCAGGAGGGCCTCTGAGAGCCGCCGGGAAGGGAGAGCGGGTGTCCCCTGTCCCCGAGGTGGCAGAGGCGTGGCCGAGGGACGCTTGCCCGCAGCGGCTGGAAGCACAGTCCGCCCGAGCCAGGGACGGCTGGCAGACCCCGTTCTCTGCGCGCTGCCCAGGTCTGAATCCAGGTCAGGCAGGGCCGTTGGCTTATTTTCCTTGAACTCCGGGACTCGCCAGCCCTGGCCTGTCTGACCCGAGCGCACCCTCTGAGTCGGCTGCCCGGTGTCGGCCACCACCCATCAACTTCGGCGGCGGCGGCGGCCGGCTGACCGACCAGCAGGACGGCACCATCACAAGGACGCCTGAGCCGCTGTCGCTGAAACAGAGCACGCGGTTCCCGGCTCGGACGCTGCGACGAGAAGCACTTGGTACACGCCTTTTACCTTCTTGGGGGGGGGGGGGCGTTCGTGACCCTGGTTCACAGGCGAGGAGACAGAGGCAGCGAGAGAGAAGGACTCCCCTGAGGTCACACAGCCGCCCAAGGTCACACATCCAGTAACAGCCACCCTCTCAAGGCAGGAGTTCAATCCTTCCAATAACTGAAGGCCTTAAAAGAAGCAAAAACCCTCTGCTGATTACAACCTGCCCCGAAATTCCCTTGTGCGGGTGTACAATCGGGTGGTTTCCAGGGATCTTAGAGGGCTGTGCGGTCACCCCCGCAAACACCCCAAAAGATCACGCACGCGGAACTGTCCGTCCCGGACATTTTGTGCAAGCGGAATCCTACAACACGGGGGCTTCTCTCACTCGGCTTGGGTTCCAAAGGCGTGTCCGGGTGGTGGCGCGGTGCGGACCGCAGGCCTTGTTAGGGCCGAGGCCGGACAGCCCGCGTTTCCAGGATCCATTCCCCAGGCCACGGGCATGTACACCCTTTCTGCCTCCGGCTCCCGTGGCGAATGCCGCCCCGTGATGGTGTGCCGGTGAGGACACGGGCGGGCTGGCCCTTTGGGACACAGAGCAGGGCGGCACCGGCTGGGTCATACGTTAGATGACCGTTCACCATTTTAAGCAGCTGACGAACGCTTTGCCAAAGCCGCTGCCCCAGGGGACGCGCCCCCAGCGGCACGGAGCTGTGTCACGGCTGGGTTTCAGCCGCGCACGCGGCGCGCCATCACAGTGAAGCAGCAGCTCCTGCGGCCCCGGCTACGGACAGTTAGCGGCCCCTACTAGTCGGCTACGGGGCGCAATCCTGCCCGCAGGACTTTCTGCGCAGCGCTGAGCCCCGAGGAGCAGCATCCCCGGATCGCAGGATGTGTGCACGTGCAAGCCGGACGCTTGCCCGGCCGCCCTCGTGAAGGTTCCCCCGACTGACGAGTCCCACCGGCATCGCCCCAGGCAGCCTGCTCAGCACCCCTCGCCCCCAGCCTGCCCGCAGCACGTGGTATCCGGCTTCTGGTTCACGGCCATTCAAAACTAGGGCGGGGCACCCGAATGGAGCTTTAATTTGCATCCTGCTCCATCTGAATGCGTTGGAGCAGGAGAGGAACAGCCTGGCCACGATTTTAGGATTTTAGCGTGATGTGCTGCGGGGCCTTCCTCCCGATGAGAGGGGCCCAGACCGGAGCTGCAGGACCCAAGGGCCCCGCCCTCTCAGGCCGCTCGCCAAGGTCAGCCGTGCTCGGGAAGCAGGCTGCTAGCAGTTCCTGCCCGTCGCCCCCTTCCCCGTGGCAGCTTCGTGCTCTTGGCTCCCCTGGGACTGAACTTGCGGAGCGGCTATCAGGTGGGAGCACTCGGCCAGGTGGGAGCACTCGGCCAGATGGGGCTGCAGACAAGCCAGGCAGTGCGGACAGAGCAGAACGTGGGCCGCCGGCCCCCACGCCAGCAGCTCCCTGCCGACCACGGAGCGGGAGAGTGGCGGTGCTGGCGCCGTGGTTCCCCCGACTGCCCTGCTGGTTTCTGGAAAGCTCGGGTCCCAGGGTCCTCCTCAGGCCTCTGGGCTGCAAGATGCCCCCAGATTCTCAGCCCAAATGAGCCGTCTGGGAGAACCATCCAGAGCCGCAAGGCTGCCGGCCGGTCCCCACGGTGGGCAAGCCACGCCGGGGAAAATGCCAGGACCGTGTCTCCACCTACTGCTGTCAGTTTTACAGATGGGGCGGCGGGCTCTCCTGACCGTGAGGCCCCCAACAACCTAGGGACAAGGAGGCCATTCAGGACATCAGCCAAGGCCTTGCCTGGACCTCCCAAGCATTCCCTTCAGCAACCCGAGTGGTCGGAGGCAAGAGCAGGCCCCGTGGCATCGGGCGTGGGCTTCGTACGCGTCAGACCGGCTGCCCACGTCGCTGAGGCCGTCGATAAAGCAAGCGTGGGGCTTGGCCGCCGTCTGGGGCAGAGAGTTCCTCCAGGTCTGGGCTCCGTCCGTGCTCAAGCGCTTGCTGAGCCCCAGGCCTGCCCGTGCGTGGGGGGGAGGGGGGGCTGATGAAGGTGACCAGCCGCCCGCCCTCCAGTTCCAAGCCTTGCCCTCGACGGTCTCTGGACGACTCGTCGCTCCCGTTCCTCGGAGACGGGAGGGTCCGCTGGCGCAAGTCTGGGCAGTTTTCAGAAAAGGTCTTTTGAAAATCCCTCAACGAGTCCTGAACAAATTTCTGGGCTCAGCAATCTGTCATCTGGACAGTGGGAAGCTGGACGCCTACTACGTGCCAGGCACGGGCCGCATGCTGGGGACCCGGGGTCAGCAGAACGGGGGGGGGTCTTGCTCTCCTGGGGACTAGTCCGGGGGGAGGGGGCACACGGCTAAACGTGTGTAAGAGATAATCTCAGAGAGTGATGGGTCCTTAGGTAAAACCAGCCGGGAACATGGATCAGAGCAGGGCAGGGGTGAGGGACCCGGGGGGATGGGACGGAGCAGGGCAGGGGTGAGGGACCCAGGG